CTTCATCCTTCTCTCGCCTCTCCTCGCGTTCCTTCCTCTCCTGTCTATCCCGGTCCTCTTTTTCCCTCCTCTCCTGCTGCCTCTCGCGATCATCCTTCTCTCGTCTCTCCTTCTCTTCCCTCTCCTTCCTCTCGTAACGCACCTCCTTGTTTTCCTTGAACTCTCTGTGACCGTCGTTATCCCCAATGTCGTTCACCACCGTATCTTTCTCCTCCCGGTCCTTCCGGCTGCCGCTCCTCTCGAGTTCCGCGTCCTCTTTCCGCGACTTCCTCTGGCAATCCTTCCCCTTGCTGTACTTCGAGTCTCTGCCGTCCTTGCTGTCGCGCGAGTCCCTGCTCTCCCGGTTAGCCAACTCCTTCCTCATCCTGGATCGCGAGCCATCGCTGGATGGGCAGGAGGAATTCGACGAGGACGTCGTGGAAGACGGCATCAGCACCGTGGACGCGGTGGACATGGAGGTTTGGTACTGGCTGCTGGACGATGTCACCGCGGTGGTGATGGTGGTGGTCGCAGTGGCGATGGTGGTCGTCGAGGAGGCGGTGGCCGGCGTCGCCGTGGCGGACGTCGTGGTTGTGGTTGCCGTCGACGTCGCTGCGGTCGTCGTGACCGGTACCGTGGTCGAGTATGAGACCGTCGAAGTTGTCGTGGCCGCAGAAGACGAAGACGACGACGTCGACGACGACGACGACGACGACGGCAATGACGAAGTGGTCGCGGTTAATCCTCGGCTCATCGACGCCCCGAGTACGTGTATACTACCTACACTACCGTTGCTGCTAAGAATACTACTGGCTGACGCTAAACCGCTACTGTTGCCGCTACTGGCTGCGGTGCCGGTGCCGAGGCCGATCGGCAACGAGACCGGCGGTAGCTCGGGGCTGACCGTTTTGATTGAGGTGCCGGGGGTGATCGGCGTGGCCGGTGTCGGGTGCACGCAGTTGTGCTGCGCGGACGTGCCGCGCAGGTCCGTCTTCAACGACGACAGGCTGGTCGCGAAGCTCAGACTCGTGGACAAGGACGCGGCGGTGGTCAGGCCGGTCTGAACGGTACCGCCGCCGCTGTTGCTCGACTGTACAGGCGGATGACTAGGGAATGGATACTGCAGGCAGACTTTGCTGGTGCAACCACCGGTGGCTGGCGCAGCGCCACCGGCCGACGTGAGACCGGTCGCGCCGCCGATCATCGAGCTGACGTTCAGCACGCCGGTGAACTCCCGCGGCTCGTACTTCTCGCTGAAGTTCTCCAAACGTTTCGAGTCCTCGTCGAACACACTCCGCTTGGCGAGCACCGACTTCACGATGTCCGACGGCTGCACTTCGTGTAGGTCCAGGTCCAGCAGCTTGTGGCGAAACCTGAAACGCTCGGACGCCGTGGCGTCCAGCTTCGCCAGCGCGTCGCCGCCGGCCGCGCTCAACGCCCGCGAGCCGGACCACTTCTCGTATTTCTCGTCGAGCGATCGTATCCTCTCCTCGAGGCTCGGCGACTGAGGAGCCGTTTCGCTGTCCGAGCTCGTCGGGCTCGGACTAGGGTGCCTCGGCGGCGGTGAGGCTGGGGGTTGGGGCGCGGCTCGAGGACTCGGCGCTGTGGACAGATTGGCACATGGCGGACTGGCGACTTTCGCGAGGCTCGCGTTGCTCGACCGATTACTGCTGCTGCTGTTGTTGTTGCTACTGCTGTTGTTGTTATTGTTGTTATTGTTGTTGTTGTTGTTGTTCAACATCTGGGTGGCGAACCTCGGTAGGGGTAACGATAGAGGACCCTCGTGGCTTCTTTCGCGGAAACGCCGTGGTTCGCTAGGCACCAGGTTCTCCGGCCTCTCGTCCACCAACGGGGTGCCCGGCCGCGATCCGTCGTGATGTTCATGGTGCCTTCAACAGAATTTGTTTGTCGTGTTAGTAGCTAGATTCATAAAGGTTTCATTCCTCTAAATAAAATGTCGCATAAATTTCATTAAGCATTATGTAGTAGTTTCCAAAGGTTTTTGTAGTTTCCGATTACAGTCCCAAGGCAATACTGTACTTCCCACAACTACGATCGTCCCAAACGTATCAACAATCAACAACGGCACCAAGAAACAAAGCTCACCTGCTAGTAACATCACGCCGACGCTTGCATGGCCCAGGGCCTCTGCCCTCGCAGCTACCCCTCCTCGTGGCATGGTGTACTACGACCTTGCTGTCGCTGACTCGTCGTATGTCCATGCCCTTCCTGCTCGAGTGCGAGGTGACCAGCAACGACGCGATTTCCGGCTCGTCATCCTCGCACAGTATCGTCGTGGAAGCGCCATCCAACTTCGCGCGTTTCTTGGGCGCGAAGCCGACCTCGTCGCCACTGCTGTGACACTCCTCGAGCTGCTCCAGCAGGTGGACTCGCTCCTTCTGCAGGTGTCGTATGTCTGAGGGCGGTAACAACGGTGGCGGCGGGGCAGGAGGGTCCACGCTGGTGACGACGCTCTGCACCGCGTGGCGACGCGACGACGGCGGCGGACAGTCGTCGTCGTTCAGCTTGCCGTCACCCAGCACGCTGCTCTGGTAGTCGTCGTGGCTAGCCCCGCTGCCCTGACTGAATTCGTCGTAGCTGCGAAACCTTCGCGGCGCCGGCTCGCTGTAGTCCCCGTCGTAGTAGGTGTCCTGGTACGACCGACGGTTGCTCCGCGTCATCGCGGTCGGATGAGCCGGACTGGCGCCCGGCGTGCTACCGCCTCCGGACGCGCGGGAGTAACTCGCCGTTCTCGACCTCGGGGGCGTCTCGTAGCGGGTGAACCTGCTACTCGAGTTCGACACCGTCACCCCCGTGTCGAAACTGCTGCGCTCCCGCCTGGAAGGAATCCTTCAAATAACGGTCGCACTATATTCCACGTTCTCAATTCTGTGGGATCGGGAGTCGCGTGCTGGATCAGCACTGTGGGGTATTCGACTTGTTTCCCTGTCGGCTGCTAACATTACTAAGCGGCGGATCTTTGTGCGGCAAAGCGATGGAAAGTTATGATGGGAAATATCAATTTTCCTAGTAACATTGAATATCAACGTCTCACCGGTCTAGTGTACTGTTGCATAATAATGTTATTGCTGCCTTTGTTACAATTGCTGAAACATTCGTCGAATATCTCACGGTATACCCTGCACGTGTAATAATAAAGTTAACACGTTCACTGTTCAATAGGTATTGTCGTTTGTTAATGAATCTTAGAAAATAAGTGAATCTTCTCTCTGCGATGTTCGTTATTTTTCGATTGGAACAGTGAATCTGTTAGTTCTTTGAGTAATGTTATTAAGAAACTTCCGAGAAGTTTGTTCAATTATTCTAGAAAACTGTTCAGTAGTATTATGAGACATAGTACACTGGAAAATATACATACGAGACATCAAAGGTGGTTGCTGGAGAAGGCCTCGTGTCCCAAGGTCTTTCACCAGCGATACCCTGGCGCTCAAGGTGCTCGTAGAACGTCTCTTGACACTCTCTGGAAGCGAAGTCGACTTGGAGCCGTCGTCCGCGAAGGGCTGCGCCCCTCATCTCCTTCACAGCAGCTTGAGCGCAGCTGATCTGCTCGAAGAAGACCAAAGCGTGTCCTCGCTCTCGGTCCACTACGACCTGAGATATCAGTCCGAACTTATGGAACTGTATGTTCAGGTACTTTTCCGGCATACAATCTACAAACACAGGGAAAAATGATTATGAGGTATATACGTTAGAAGAAATAATATATTTAAGGGAGGATCGAATGAAAAGTTTGATTATTTTATTGAATTTCTTTAAAGCTCTCATTATATTTAGATCACTAACTAAAGTCATTTAAGAACTTATCTATTCATTGAGATATAAAATAGTTGATTACTACATCTATTTAACTGCAGGAAAAGAGACAGCTCCTCATAAAAAATAAGTTGAAAATCTGGAACTGAATGTTCCACAAGTAGACCACAGCTTTTAAAGATTATTATCTTTAACAAACATATCTGTTACTACGTTGGAAGCTTTAGTGACATTTTAGGGTAGGTTTTAAGAACTATAAATGGACTATTAATTAATTTTTAGTGGCGGTTCGCAATCCTCCCGAATAATTACCTCCAATGCCATCAACCCAAACACAGGACGTGGGCATGGATTTCCCGAATCCGAGTTTAATTCGATTAGCGCCCAGGTGTTCGCCGTCCATCGATCGCATAGCTTTGACGACGCTGCCAATGTCGGAGTATTGGCAGAAGGCATAGCTCGTCACCGCGCCCTGTTTCTTAACATCTATTTCCTGTAACATTAAAAACGTACGACCGCGTTACTCTTCCTGTTAACGGCAAGACATCGTCGATGTTCTTTTAAATACAAATGAAACGGGATCGAATCTTCTTCCGTTTCTCTTTTCTTTATTTTTATTTTGATTTTTATTCCCCGTTCAAGTCGACGTTCAACTCGAGCTTCTAACTTTAACATTCACGATTGTTTACAGTTTACAGCCCGCGGCCGATTGCGTATTGCTTGAAAAACGTCGTTTATTCTGAAAATTTTAATTTTAAATGGCTCAAACGCGTCACACGCGGGAAGTATTAACATAGCAATTAGAATGAACCTATCTTTTTTAGTATCGCGCGCCTCGTCTGAATATTAAGATCGGCTGCGCGATATTAAACGCGCGACCGCTGGTAATGCCGATTCTAAATCCGGTGTCGTGGACTCTGGCCAATTAATGGTCAAAGATCGAGACAATGATTTTTTTTTTCAAATGCATGTTGCTGCTCCATCGCGTGCGAAGATTACACAACGCGATACAATAAATACAGAACGCTACGTGAACCAGGATACATCATAATCATCGTGAACGAAGAAAAAGATGTTATGACGCTCTTTGCGCGAAGCATTAGTCACATGTTGATCGACTTTTGTTATGGCATAATCCGATGACATAACACACATAATTGTTTAAACATATACACTAATGTTACTGATTACACTGGTGTTACTGACGGACAACTATTACACGAGCTAAACCACAAGACAAATCGGATGCCTCCACTCTGGTAATGTTTCCAAATGTCTGCGCGAAGAGCACGTAGACAGTTTAGTATTTACGTGATTGTCAACGCTTTGTCGGTCACCTCTCTCTACTTTTCATTTTCCGGAACCAGCCTTCCAGTAACGGCATATCTAGGGTAGCGTACTCCGTTACCGTCCTCGAATGCCTCTATCACTTTTTCCTCGTTCAACCGTCAAATCATTCTACTTCTTACAATTAAAGATAGCTACAAATCGTCAACAACTCATGGTAACATCTGTAACGAACAGAAAATAATCCGACAGAATTGAAGGAACCGGCAATTCCCGTCTCTGAACGGCGAATCGCTTCAGCAGATGATCAGTCCAGGTTCCAAAGGGTACCAAGACTCCATCCTCATCGAAACTGAAACAACAACGAACCAAGGGGCATCGAGTAAAAACGAACTTACTATTATCTCGCCAAAGGGCTCGAAATGCTTCCTAAGCTCGGACGCGGTGACGTCCTTTTCGAGGTTCCCGATGAAGAGCGTGCGGGTCGCCTTCGGGTGGTACTCGTCGAGCTCGGCCTCGTACGGCCGGAACTCGTTGTCCTCGACATCGTATCCCTGATAGGGGGCGACCTCGATCTTGCAGCCGAAGAACAGCTTGTCCTGGGAGACCTCGAGCGCCTTCTCCACGTCCTCGGGCTTCTTGAAGCACACCAGGGCGTACCGGTCACCGGCCGCCCCGACGACCTTCACCCAGGTCACTTTACCGTGCTTCTTGTATTCGTGGAAGAGGCCGTCCTTGAGGGATGTGTCGCTGCTGCGTGCCGGCAGATTACGCACGCAGATCGCGAGCGGCCTGCGGTCCTCGGTGACGGCGGCATTTCCGGCGCGGTGCGGTGAGCTGCCCGGCGACGTACTGCCGCCGGAAGTGCTGCCGGCGGAGCTGCCGCTGCGGCTGCTGCTGCTGCTACCGGAACGGCTGCTGCCACTTGGCGAGCTGCTTCCGCTCCGCGATTTTCTTCGCTGTTTTTTGTGCTGTCGCAGCGCACCGCTGCCACTGCTACCGCCGCCGCCGCCGCCACCGCCGCCACCACCACCGCCGCCGCCTCCACCACCGCCTAGTGGAACAACACGACGAATGTAATCTACACACGTATATATCGTTATCGTTAATACCCTGTTGGAATCTCTCTGTGTGGTGATGAAGATGAGCTTCAAGGATTCGCGCGCGTTTAGCTTGGAAGGTTCTCGTTGCGACGCCGGTTGACGGGTTGGAGACGTTGCTGACTGGAGTGACAATGACAGTGGAATATTATTGTCGCTGTTACGCCGATTTATTGTGTAGGATTCGAGGATCAGCGATCAATCGTGAGTAATGGAAAACATGGAGATCGGAGAAATTGTTAATGGGTGCAGCGTGTCAATCTGTCAACCGGCGTCGCAACTGATTTTTGCTTCTGCGACGGGCATGCATAGGGAACGATCATGCGTTTGGGGTAGTGGCTGTTGTCTACGTCGGCGTGATTCGAAAACGTGGACCGCGAGAGATGAACGTGAGTTTCGGATTAACGTTTATTTGGAAATTTCACGTAGATTCGTGTTTCGAAATTGAAGGGAACACGTGCAGAAGTACGACAATGTTGAAATTTCGGTATACACGAACCCTCTGTTTGTCCGTACAGAGGTTAAACGGTACGTTAACAACCCATCGAATAAACAAATATCGCGTCGTCGATAAGAAAAACAACGAATTCGTGGGTACTCCTCGCGATCCACGTGCTTGAGTTCGAAGTACACCTCGAAACCGAGTAGAGGACACCCGAAAAAAAGGCCGAGCAAACACGATAAGAACACGCACCCGCGATTGCGAAACATCTATTCGAACCGACTTATCTAACCGATCGTAAAGCGCGGAGGAGCCGCCAACGATCGCGGGCCACGTGTTGTGCCGCGGGCAGAGACAACGCTCGAGAGATCCCGCCGCGTGTCACCGCATCGAGTCGCACAAGCGTGGCGCGCACACACGGAACGTGTCATATAACCGATAGAGAAGGAGGCGGCTGAAAAGGAGTCGTTCACACAAACCCACCCACCCACACCCGTACGAGACATCCACCTGCGAGAGGAAACGCACGCGGGTAAACGGACGCAGACGCAAAAGGTGGGTAAAAGGAAGGAGCGGTGGTAAGCGTGCTCGCTGTCGAGACGAAAGACGATGACGATACAGGAAAGGGATGATTCTCCCTCACTCGGAACAAGAATCATCGCTAATAGACGGCGGACTTTACGACAAATTATCATCCCGAGATTTCAATTTTCCCAAACAGAATGTCTGCGAGAACTCAACACTAGGTTCACAGGACGCGACAATTCGACGCACTTGAATTCTATAGAATGTTCCCAACCTCTAATCCCAAGATCTAACTGAACATCGCGAATACAATGTAAACCAAAGTGTCAAGAACCCAGTCCGTTCTCTACAGATCCAACCCTTAAGACCAAGACATTTCCACCTCGGCCCTTTCGAGACTACCCCGAGAAAGTTCCAGTCGGGATCGTCCTTCGTCGAGAAACCGGGCGCGTAACGCACGGATAAAGCGGCCGAGTAAGCGGGTAAACAAGCAAGTAGGCAAGTAAGGGGCCAATTACCTTGCTCGTCCTGGTAGGCGTCGTTGTTGGCAGGCGAGGGTGGCGGCGGTGCGTTCCCGTATCTGGAGGTCGTCGACTCGTACGCCGACCAGGAGGACGGCGGCAGGCCGCTGCGATGACGA